TTCATGTATTTTGATTTGTGTTATAAATTTACATTTAACAGTCAGTTATCCCCAAAAGCCAATAGGAATGCGGCAAATAATAGGTCGATTTTCTAGCTGTTAAATTTGGCAGCAGATTTGGACGTTTGTTAATGCTTGGCAGTCTCGAATTTAAGTTCAATATACTGTTATCATTACATACTTGTTGAATAGAGTGGATTTGTCTGTATTTTGCAAGAAAATAGAATATAAAATACATTCCATCCAATTCCTCATCTTCCTTTACATCATAATAGTCATTTATTAATTTACCGGTTAATCAATTTCTTCAAAGCAATAAAAACATTGTCCTCTCCATCCTAAAACATAGATAATATGTGTAAGACGTGTCAATCCTTACATCTCCGTGATTCATAATCCAATTACTATGGACATATACAAAAAATTATGAAAAATGTCTCACAAATAATGTCTTTTAAGTCCAAAAATCATAAAAACTATTAATGTTTATTGTCTGATTGACTTTTTCACTGGTGGGGTTATCTATCTGTCACTCGCAGGGTTGCCAAGTTTAACGACGATCACGTCCCGTGGTGAAGGGTGCGACATGAATCTTTTACATTTGCTGGTTTTGAATTTAAAGTAGGAATACAAACATAGTACTTATGATAGTTGGAGCTAGACTGATAACACTTCTTGAATAATATTTGAAAAATGTGAACACCGTCATGGTCTGTCGTCAAATTGCAAATGAAGTATCTGAAAATTCTTACATACAGTGGACCTTCGTCATAGGTTACTATCCTGATTATGATCATTTTAGCAGATGTGTTGTATCATCAGATTGATGAACAAATATAAGAAAGCTCTTATATACCTACATACAGAGGATTTTTCATCTAAATTTACTAGGTATCATGATGATAAGCATCTTTGGTGGATTGTTCGATCCGGAATGAGAAAGATCACCTATTGATGAAAATATTTTTGGTATCATCTAACCGTTGCAATCAGTGCACAAAAACTGTGACATATGATTTATAGCATAACCCGCTGCCCTATCAATACAAATTTAACATACAGGTCGCCTACCCGTGGGGATGCAGTGGTCGGGATGAATATCACGACAGCAACTGATGATTTGGGCATGTCTGGTAACAACGTATGAAGTGAAACTCGCTAACTTCACAAATTTGAAGATTTTGTACAATTTCTTTGAAAATGATGAAAGATATGTCTGATTTGGCAGTCACTCTTTCTGACAAGTCCGGATCGAAAGATGATGATACTCCTGAAATGTATTGATACTTATAACCTATTGAACATCCTTACTGTCAAGATGTATAACCCGAGTTACCGACGGAGCTAGTTTGCGGCGTCATGGAAATAATTTTAAATTTTCATTTGCATTTCCAAGTGTTGTGCAACGATTTTGGGAAAGATTCCACGAATACTCTTATAAAGCATAGTAGAGTATATTTCAACAGTTGGCGGAGCTTACTGCACTGGGACCAGGGGGGTGAAACGGGATGTTAATGCACAATCTGGCAACCATGTCGCACTCTAACAAAATGGCCGCTGACAACCACACAAGTCACCGTGTTGTCGTTGAATAGCATGGAATTAACCCTTCTTCAGAGTATATGTTTTGTGACTGGGACCAAGGGTTGACAGATCCCACACATGGGTCACTCGATGAGTCTTGAAATGCAATAATCAGCTGTAGAGATGACCTTAGCAGCGACTTGTAAGTCGCCGGGATACCGATGACAGCGACCTTAAAGTCGCCCGTAGATTTAGCAGCGCTTTAGGTCACTGCTTATCTATGCCAGCAGCCAGCGACTCCCTGGCGCTGATTAAATTACTCGATATTTGGCGGCGGTTATCCATTGATATTAACGAGGTGTAGATGTTCAGGTTCCTGAAGATTTGAATTGAACTATATTTAAGGTTTTTGTTTTTAACAATATTGAGCACAAAACACATAAAATCATAAAAATACATAAAATATCTTTCTATGAATCTTAAAAAGTAAAACAAAATACTATTTTACCAGTCAAAATAAAACTTTTAAAACATAACAAATGTAGTATAAAAATGCTTCTTTTATATGTTAAACATTGCTTAATAAACGAAACATTTTTCTATGAAACAGGAACTCACAACAATAACAATAAAAAGTAACAAAATAGGTTAGGCTACGCTGTAGCGACCCAGTACTTCCCGCGCGATGATCGCGAACGCGATGTGTATATGCTTCCTGGCAGCGACCGCGACCGAAACAGCGTTACAGCTACCGACCAGTAGTTACCGATACCGATACTTAAAAACAGCGATCTGGGTCGCGGCTTCATGGAGAATCAGGTCGCCGGGACTAACGGCGACCATTCAAGTCACCGGGAAAGGTCGCCGGTACCGATATATCGATCATCTCCAATCAGCTGTATTCAAATAATGTCTAATATAAATATAACCTAGAATGTGTACTCGTGAAAAAAGAAAAATATGGCAAATTTGTAGTTGTTTTGCAGGTTTTAGGTTTGCTGGTAGCTTTAAGGCATATATTTGGGAATTTCTTAATCGCTGTGAATACAGTGTGGATGTTTGTTCAGTTCCTGAACAACGGAAAATATTCAACTTTATGGATGTATGGATATCAAAAAACCTGAATGGTTTTGTGGGAATATCAATCTAAGGTGCCATAATGGTTCTGATGAACGGCAAGTGAATGAATGAATGTTTGGAAACGAGCAATATCTTTTGGTAGAGCCTGTCATCAAGTAGATGCTTAATGGCTATCTGCAAGAGGTTTATAATAGGACAAAACGCCCAGTTGAATCAGTAAAATCGCATATCAATTGAAGAAAATAATATAAACATGAATAAAAAATCAACAATAGTAATTAAAACATGAATTGTATCCAAAAATCAAACATTTCTTTAAATTTTGACTGAATTATATGTAATTTCTTAATATTCAATAAGCTGGTGATGTTTCAATGACAAGCTGTCATTTCATACATTGACAGTATTTTGTTTTCAACATTTCATAGCTATTGGTTGCTAAAATTTTTTGATTGGAACTTGAAGCTCATTCGTTTGACGGACAGTTACCCTATAGGTGGAGAATAACGGACTGTTGATTTGACAACCTTGGTGAAATCGACCCTTAAACTTTTATTTCAATGAAAACATTTAACAGTAAATAACACGAGACTTTTAATAGTTGCTGAAAATGACCTCCTTCAACCTCAATGCAAGCATTAGCTCGTCTTAACATTGGTTGCCGAACTCGTTGAAATATTCCCGGCGTATGTCTTGTCTGATCACATGAACCGCGTATCCGTTGGGTTAGTTCTTCTTCAGTGTTGAATGGAGTCTTGTAAACGAGGGACTTTAAATACCCCCAAAGAAAAAAATTTAACGGATTTAAATCCGGTGACCTGGGTGGCCAAAACTGCTTCCTCCATCTCCAGTGTTCTTACTGTTGCAGGTCTCCCAATTATTACAGCAGCCGACCTGGAAGGTACCTGATTCGCACAGTCATTCATGTATTCTCACGAATGTTTGTATGTTTGGTATAAGGCGATGAGGATATATTTCTTGATAAATGCGCCTAGCCACTCTAGAATAATTCTAGGCAACTATTGCCTTCCATAAACAAAATGCATATCTGCCATTTCTGTGTTTGTAAATTGAACCATTTTCCAATATTAGTAATTTTATAGCTTAAGACTCTTAAAAACACTTTAAATAATTAAGAACATTAGTTACGCACTGCTTTAAGTAAGTTATGTTAGAGTCAGATTTGTTTGAGTAGCAACTGATGATTTTACTTTCACGGTACTCTTATTTTTTGTCACTTTTAAAACATTGCTGTTACAAATGATTACGTTATGCGATTTTATGTTAATTTGTTTTATCGAAATTCGTTTTAAATATGTTATTGTCTCAGGGACATGGAATAAAGTGCTTTTTATTTTTTGTCTCGCAAACGAAGCGAGATATGAAAGAAACTCGGGAAACCAAAAAGTTTTATTTTAGCTGCTTAATTCGGGAAAAGAATAGGAAAATTGGAAAAAGTTAATGGCGCACAAATTTTTATGTCAAATATATTGATTAGGGTGTTTTCCGAGACGCCACTGAACTTGATAACTTCAATCTAACCGGATCTAAATTGGCCCTTTTTCTGTCCTCAACACCACTACTAAATTTAAATAAAATCGATTGAAAGTTTATCAAGATATTTAGGAAAAACAGATATTGAAAATGAAACCTTTCTGGACCTATGTTTATATATACTTTTCATCTTAAAAGTACTCAAAGAATCACCTCCTGAAGTTTGGCCACGTACTTAAGTAACACCCTGTATATATATATATATATTAAGTGACATATAAATCCGAACACCCAGTTTAAATGGTTTTATTTTAATAAAAGTTGGTGAATGTATTTATCTTACTGTAAATAACAAGTGAAAAAATGTTCAGCCTTATCAGTTGGACATTCCGGTTTTTATACTGCTTTTTTTTAATTCACTAACGCTCTAAAAATGAATATTTCAGCCGCAGTAAAGAATCAACGTTGGCGGATTTTGCTTCTTGACATCCTTCACGATCGGTTACGATGCCTAGAGTACGGAGACCTGTACGATTTCGTCAACTTAGTGAGTTTGATAGGGGCCGTATAGTGGGACTTCGGGAAGCTGGACTTTCTTTTCGGGCAATTGCAGTTAGAGTGCCAGTCGACCAGTCGGAGATTTTTATCAATGATTTTCACTATTATTACCAAGTTTAGACTTATAATCTACTCTCACCAGAATTCATGTACGGTTATGGATACGTTTACACTGTAGGTTTGCTACCCGCTGGCAATTAAATGCTCGTAACCTCTCAGAATAATGATATTAATTAGGGAGCTTATTACACAGGTGTATTCACCTTGTTCACCAGGACCGGGCCTCTCGTTTGATACGTTATGATTATTGCTTACAGTAAAAGCTATTGAATTTATTTTTGCAGATTGGCCGAAGAAATGTCGAATGTAGATTGCAGGTTATATGATTATTGCGATGACTATTACTCTTCAGATAATGAAGTTATGGTCAGTCATGTGAAGACCCAGCAAATTATCAGGGACGTGGAGAAACATGTAAAAGACGAAAAAGAAGTTACGGAACAGGCTGAACATGTTACAAGTACAGACCAGATTAAAAATAATTCTTTGAAGAATGATATTCAGGTAGATGATGACGGTACTAATCTACAGAAGCCAGACGCATCCCTGCGAAAAAGTCTGATTGAACAAAATGATAATAACATGATCATGACACTGGAGGAGGTATGTGATAGCAGTACGGTAGGGCTTGATAATGAAGTTATAATAAACGAACTGGAATCAGAAGTAATAGAAGAACAAGTTTTAACTGAAAATATTGTGAATGAGGAAGTTATTCCTACTGAAAGTATCATTGAAGAAAATGTGATTGATTCAAATACACCCTCTGTAGTTGAAGAAACTGGGTGCCTTGAGTTGGAAGAAGAAGAGGTAATTGCACCATCTGGAACTATTGATTATGAAGGAGATGTTATTATGACAAGGGATGGTGTTACTGTGATTCAAGATGTAGAGGTTTCTGAGGAAATCGTGGGAGCTATGGAAATAGATAAATCTGATATTACTGAGGGCTTAGACTTGGTTGAGCAAGTTGTAGAGGTTGCACCAGATGACTTTGTAGAAGCAAACCAGACATGTGAAATCAGTGGCCCCATGATCGTGCTGATTGCGGAAGAAATCATTAATACAGAATTCGAGAGTGAATGTCGCTACCTGGAAGCTCAGAGTCAGTATATGAAAAAGAATCTGGAAAACCTGTATAAGCTCATGAAGAAATTGGAGGACGATGTGGAGCATAGTATCAAATCTTGTCAAAATAACTTTGCTCCTTCCATCCGTAACAAAGGGACGAAGAGAAAATTAGATGTGTTTGTAGATGTTAGGAATAATAACAAGCATCTTTATGAAGAAAACATATGCTCTAAAGGTAAGTGAATGAAACGTGTTTAATTTTTAGAATCACGTGCCGAGTATATTCTAGGGCGGTATTCATAGGTCCAGTCTATCAATGCTTAGTCAAATCGTTAGTTAGCTGACTAATAGTTAAAGATAGCTATGAGCAAAAGTTGTAGATAGAATTGTGAGTAAGATCTTTATATATGGCATACATGTTTTGACGTTAAGAGTAATTGTCAGTGTCATGTTTATAATCTTAAACGTTATTTTGTTTTATTGTGACTTTTATTGTGTATAATGGTGATGTTTGAACATTTAAGCGATGATGTAGAACAATTAGAGTTTTTGGAATATTAAAGACGGTCATTCAGGATTAGACAGCAAAATATAATTTTGACTTGCTTGATGATCCAGATTTTGCTTGAAGAAAGATTCAATCGATTTTGATATGTATACTTCTATTTATTCTGGTCAAATTTAATATATGTATGTGTTTAATGAAAACAAATATGTTTACATCATATATGAGCCCTAAAATCTTTTCAATAGATGCCATTTTTTCAGGGAGGGGCCAACCCTCAGAGATCCTAAAGATTGTATACAATATTATGTCTTTTCTATAATTGCCTCTGAAAATATAGGCTATAACTAGCTTCCAGTGGCTCATTTAGAGGCATGAAGAAAAAGTTGACAATGGCATTGTGAGAGATAGAGAAAAACAGAACATGTTAACATTTAAGAAATTTTATTTAGCAATTAAAAATTGCAACTGGTTACATTAAAAATGTTTTGCAGAAATTAACTTGAATATGACTTATCTTTGCAATTTCCGTGTGATCAAGTGCAGGTGTAGCCAAGACCAGTGAGATTGGTGGAAGCCGAAGGCCATAGATTAGGGATTGATGTGTAGGTACTACCATGACACTTACAAACAAAAATTGCTTTCCTTGACTATATTTACTTTCCAAACCAAAAAGGTATGTGATATCAAGGAAGTGCATAACATGAAGGTAGTTATAGGAGCCAAAAGGAAGTAAAACTTATCCCTTAACGAAAAACTGTCACGTATATGGTCATATACAGAAATAGTGTAAAAGGGAACCCAGGTATGTAGAAGATCAGCTAAGTGTACAACCTGTGAGATCTTATCCTCAGGAACTGGAAAGATGGTCAAAGTATGCGAAAAGTTAAAGTAATATACTCGTAGTATAGGGCATTCCATTGAAAATAAATATCTAGTTAGTATACTGGTCAACAGTGTATCACTTTATACATTATTGAATAATGCCAGAAGGTTCTTCCGTATAAGAATGCTTCTGCGCATTAATAATGCTGCTTTCTTGAGAAACGGTTGCGATCAAGCTGGTTAATTGAACACCCTGAACCTTTTCACTCCCATATCCCACAGCAATGTGCTTCACACACGATACACTACAGACGTAGTCTACTAATTCCACCACTTTATTTGTGCACACAGTGAAAAAACACAGAATATAACATATGTCTACAAATCCCACCAAAAAAAATTTACTATGCATTTTGTCCAGTGCTCTTTGTGCTTTTTTGCTTACCCCCTTGGGAATTCAGTCGGATCCTCAAATTCACCTTCTTAGCATGATATTGTATAAAATGTTTAGAATCTCTGAGCGTTCCTTCCTATTTCATTATTTGATCAAAATGCCTTTTAGTGTTGTGAAACTATAATTTCTACTCCATTACATAAGTATGTATCTTATACATATTAGACAGCTACGAAACATTGACATATGTTTTTGGAAAAAAAACGTTGTCTTGGTATGTTTTAACACTTCTGATACTTTACGCTTAACAATAATGCTCTCGAAATTTCCAACGATGATACCACTATGCGGTTTGAAAGCAGTTGCTTGTGATCGCTTTCTTTAGCTTTCGCTCAAAGCGGGGTACAAAGTTATGTATAACTACAACTTAAGCTCATCATTGCGTATTAGTCAGCTGACTAACAATGTGACTATGCATTGATAAACCGGACCTCACGCGGGGCGACTCTCGAAAGAGCGACAAACAGAGTTAAACAACTTTATATTCTGGCGAGTGATGATCTATTATGCGTGTTTTTGTGTTTTTTATATTTTGATGAAGGATTAATCACAATTTAGGCTCTATTATCTAACCACTATCATGTGCACACATCCCCCCGGCTGGACTTGACATAACAGTGACAGTTTGATACAATGAAATGACACTGACGTCACATTTGACAAGGAGCATAGAATTATAAGTTTACAACAATATATATTCCTTCACTTTTTTCTGTTGCGACATTGTCAAGTTATTTAGATTCGATTAAAAACCTAAAAAAATCATCTAAAGGGTGTTAAGAGAATTCCTGTTTGTATTTGACAAGGCTACAGCAAAGAGTAGTCATGTAAAGAGAAAACAGACGAGGTGGATAAAATTAGAGAGATAAGCGATGACGCCAAAAACATGGCGTCCAAAAAACAGCTGATGGCGTCTAAACACAGCTGTTCTTATTTAATTGGAAATAAATGCGTTGTTTCCAGATAGAGTATAATCCTTTTTGGATGGACTCTTTGACCGTCACTTTTTTTTAATTTTCTTCATCATCCATTTGCAACCTAAGAAATATATTTGTCAAGCTAATCTTAAAACCTGTAAGCTGTCAAATAGCTATTTGACTTTTAGGAGCCTACGCGGAATTATAAACGATTTAGTTCAGTAATAAAACAAGTACGTAAGCTTGAAATTGAAAAGTTTTCTAATTGCTTATTTGACCAACAGGCTAGATGATGAAATTTGAAAAATTACTAATATACCTTAACAACCATATAAGCCAAAAAACTTTTTGCCCAAAAAATCTAACTTGTACATTATGTATTTGGCCTCTTCAAAAATCAGTTTGAATATACCACAAAAACGCTCCAAACTATCATAGCGTCTTATATGACGTCACGCCGTGCCAAGCAAAGCGGACCTCACTACAAACCTTGCAGCAGTTAGTTTTGTTCATTTTCTTTAATGAAACATGGATAATTTGTATTATAAGTGCTGTATAGTATAGTATAGTATGTGAAACCCCAACTAAGAAACGCCATTCAAATTATACGTGTTCCAAATAATGAAAAAACTCTGCAAAAGTGGTTACAACTTTACAGATTCAAGAATGTATTTTTGTGAAGATCATTTTGATGTAATTGTTTACATAATCTATTTTTAAATCTGAAGCAGAATTAAATCCAGTTTTCAGATGTTTAAGTTTATTGATAAACTGGTCCGAGTAAAGGAAACATGGCAACGCAAGACAATGGTTTAGATACTTGTAGACTACATAAATCTACCTGTATCGTAATTTTCCCTATTATCGGTACAGAATTTGGCTGTTAATAAAATATGATAAAATCTTGGAGATCAAACATTCAGGATTTACAATGGATTTATAGATGTGATATGTTTGTGAAATTGCCAAAGTTTATCCCAATAAATATTTACTGTAAATACAAACAAAATAGTAGTGTTTTTACTGTTTTTGCTTGCCATAAATTTGTATTTTTACATCACATATCTTCCATAGTTTGCACGTTTCAGATTTTGTATTCATGTTAAAACGTCAAAACAGATATCTGTATAAGTAAAATGTGTTGGGGTAACACACTGTGCACTTTTTATTATCATGCTTAAGCTGCACATAAATTATGGCATCATCCACATATAAAGCTCGTGAGGACCTGAAATCATATGTAGCTATGTTTGTAGAGGTGTTTTAAAACGTCGTGGGCCGTGACCGTTACATTATGTGGATGCCCAGAAGTCAGATATTAGAACGGCGGGAAGAATATTACCCTAATCACAAATATCGACTTTTTCGGGGCAGACTGACTGGCACTCGGCTTTGAACATCCAAGGGAGAACTATCGGTAGCCATCGGCGTGCGCCTATAGATTACGATTTTGTATGTTGGATTTCCTTTATGTTAGACCAGGTTTGTGAAGATTGTTTTTTATATTCAATATGTGTGTGTAAAAGTTTCGGAGATTGTAGATGACTTATTGTATGAAACAGCGTTAGCATTGAAGTTGGTATTGTTCTTTTTCATGCATAAAGATTTAAATACAGTCAAACGCATTGTGAAAGAAGGTTCGATCAAACCCACAGGCAATAAATTTGTCTCCCCAAGAAAAACTGTTTCTAAACCAACTCCGAAATCAACAGTGGGCAGGTTTGAGGCAGAGATAAGGGAAATAATTTATAAATTTGTCCATATTCATAAGCGGTGTCCTACCAATACAGCCGTTTATGAAGCTGCAAAAAATGATGGAGTAAACCTTGCGGGGAAAATCGGATCCTTCAGAAAAAAATTTCTTAAATTAGGTTTTTGCTGGAAAAAAGTGGAAGATAATTGGAAACTATTGATTGAAAAACAAGACATTCGTTTAAAACGAATTGAGTTTTTGACGAAATTGAAGAAATACAAGGAACTGTTGTATGTTATGATATGTTTTCAGTCCATTCAGCAATATCGATATCTATCAAAAAATTGTCATAAACCTTAATAGATGACTTTATATGTATTTGAAAATTTTTTATTGGACCAAAGAAATATAAAATTTAAGCGTTAAGGTACATGAACGATAGCAAAAATTAGTGTATACTGTATGTATATGTATGCTTTAACAAAAATGTATTGAAAAATGATTTCAATGAAAGACCGCATACTTAACAAATTTTTGTTTTCAAAATAATTTCCTTAAAGTTTGTAAAAGTAACAGTTTGCTCTAGAGGAGACCTTTTCGCAGGTAGGAATATTGTATACAGCGATGAGACTTACATTCACAGCTCTCATACAGTGCCAAAGTCCTAGGACGATGTAACAAATACCTGTCTGCAAGCCCCTACTGAGCGAGGGCCGTGGCAAATGCTTGTTCCGGAAGTTGTTGTATCCAGTATACAACTTCTTCCCGTCCAAGTGATTGTGCACGCGTTAAGGAATACCTCAGTACCGATTGCCGGGTGGCGGTACAAGTCCGCCAACGGGCCACTTTAGGTCTATTTAACATCACTAACACGTAAAAAGAAGGTGGTAGACAAGGACCAGTCAACCGAGGCAGTACCACCCACTAGCTTTTCCCAGGGTGTCTTATAAATGTCCGCATGTTTCCACACCTAAGCTATGCAGTCGGTTATCTACCAAAACAAAGAAATTAATGATGATGGATCCCTCGAGCACTAAAAACTCCGGACGTAAACTCACTCCATTCTCGGAATGTCCGGGTGGAGGGTGGGCTCGAGGGAACAACATCGAAGATAAAATTTGTTTTTCGAACATCTGCGGGATCAACAGCAACATTGATGCTGTTCATCACTACCTGCAATCCAATCGTCCCGCCGTGCTTTTCTTGGCGGAGACAAAATTCTCAGAGACTGTACCAATTAACCATCTCAACTTCCCAAACTACGAGGTGCACTCCAATCTGAGAAAGAACGGGGGAGTTGTGGCTTTTGTCCGCAGCAGTCTTTCCTGCTCCAGGGATCTTTCTTTGGAATCAGACCGGAAGGACATTCTGTGGCTTCGCCTCAACTCCAAAACATCACCCAAATTTATTTGCTGCCTTTATCGCTCTCCCTCGAACCATAACTGGGATGACCTACTCGAATACCTCGCCGTCCAGATCGACTTCCTGAACATCAATAACCCCGCTTCAGAGGTAGTTCTTCTCGGTGATTTCAATGCCCATAATGAGCTTTGGTTGGGCTCAAATAAGACCGATGCAGCAGGTCGTGCAGTCGAAGCGTTCGCTCTTACTCAAGGGCTGAACCAGCTGGTGACGAGCCCTACTTTTTCCCCGCGTCTCGAGACACGCCAGTAGCCTGCTGGATCTCTTTCTGACCACGCATTCTGCCCCTTACAGCACTGCTGTCCTGTCCCCCCTGGGTAACTCAGATCACGGTGTTGTGGAGGTTAGGTTTCGGTCAGAAGCCGCTGTGGCAGCAGAAACTCGCACAGGCCGCAAAACTTGGCATTACGGACATGCCGACTGGGAGGGTCTCAGAGACTTCTTCTCTAGCTTTCCTTGGAGAGATGTCTGTTTCACTGACGCAGATGCGTCGACTGTCTGTTCTTCAATAACCGAAATTATCCACGTCGGAATGGAGGAATACATCCCTCACACAGTGAAAGTTCCTAAACCAGGATCCAACGGCTGGTTCAACAAATCGTGTGACACTGCTCGCCAGCAGAAGATCAAGGCCCACAGAACCTACTTACAAAACCCCACTGTAGAGAACAGACAAGCCGACGTCGAGTCCAGAAACAAATATAACGAAGCGGTTCGCAATGCCAAAAACCAGCATGATATAAAAGTTAGGCACAGGGTAATGTCGCAGCGCAATGGCAGTCGGTCTTTCTGGACGCTGGCCAAGCAGATTGAAAACAACTTCCCACACAGTAGCCTTCCACCACTTACGTGTCAGGATGGAACTATTGTATTCGACTCGAAGGCCAAGGCGGAAGTGCTAGCCAAGATCTTTGCTGCCAACTCCACTATGGACGTCCCCACCAACGCCCAAGTGCCGTCAATTCAAAAGGTTCCCCACACTATGCGGGAGGTAACATTCAGGCGTAAGACCGTAAGACGGGTGCTCTTGTCGCTCGACATCAACAAAGCTTCTGGTCCGGACTTGATTCCTGCCATTGTACTGAAGAGATGTGCAGCGGAGCTTGCTCCAGTTCTTTCGCGTCTCTTCTAGATATCTTATGAATCCGGCACCTTCCCAGAAAACTGGAAATTTGCTCATGTACAGCCCATCCCAAAAAAAGGATCTAAAACCGACCCTTACAACTACAGGCCTATAGCTCTGCTTTCTGTCATAAGTAAAGTGATGGAGAGGTGCATAAATCGCGAGCTTCTGGACTACCTCGAACGCTTAGCGATTAGCGACAGGCAGTACGGTTTCCGGCGCTAACGATCCACAGGGGACCTCCTAGCTTACGTCACGCAACTGTGGAGTAAACTCATCCAGTCTCATGGTGAGGCTCATGTCGTTGCTCTTGACATCACGAAAGCGTTCGATCAGCTGTGGCACGCTGCCCTCTTAAGCAAACTTCCATCCTATGGTCTCCCAGAAAAGCTTTGCAGATGGGTGGCTGACTTTATCTCTGGCCGCAAGATATCCGTCGTAATTGACGGATTCTCCTCTTCATCCCACAACGTCAACGCGGGTGTTCCCCAGGGATCGGTCTCGGCTCCAACACTGTTTCTCTTACATATCAACGACCTCCTTTCCTGCACGATCAACCCAATCCACAGCTTCGCTGATGACAGCACTCTACATGCAGGAATTCAGAGTGACAAGCCGATCTCTGCCGCTGAGCTGGAAAAAAGAAGACTAGCGACGACTGCTTCTCCGACAAGAGACCTGGAGGCTACCACTGCTTGGGGACGCAACAATCTTGTCAAGTTCAATGCTTCCAAAACACAGTACTGTACTTTGACGAACAAAAAGCGTCCTAGCGCTCATACAGTTTCGATGTACGGTCGAGTTCTACCAAAGAGCCATTAATTTCGGCTGGTCGGAGTCCAGATCACCGAGGACCTGATCTGGCACGAACACATCTCTTCAATAGCTGTAGCTGCTGGGAAAAAGCTAGGCTATTTGTTTAGGGCTAAGAAGTACTTTTCTCCGCATGACCTTCTCACTCTATACAAGGCCCAGATAAGGCCTAGCCTCGAGTATTGCTCACACATTTGGGGTGCTGCCGCCCCGACTACATTGTCCATGCTCGATGCTGTCCAGAGGAGGGCGGTCCGACTGATCGATGACTCTTCCCTAACAGACAGTCTCGGGACTCTTTCGCACCGGCGGGCCGTCGGCGATCTAGCTCTTTTCTATCGCTACACCAACGGGCTTTGCTCCTCAGAGCTCTCTTCCATGATGCCGCCGCGCGATGTGCCTGCCAGACAGACCCGCCTGACTTCGGCGTCCCATCCTAACCGTGTCTAGATTGTGGAACAATCTACGGGAGGAAGCTTTTCCCAGTTCAAGAATCGTATCAACAAAATTTCTTTGGGATCATCATAGCAGCCGCGGTGTTCCGGCATTTAGGCTTCTGCCTGCGCGGCTGTTTCGATATAAAAAAAAACCACTGGTCAAGGGAAAACGATTAGTTGTGTTGCATTGTGGGGAAAGGACTTTGTACCGAATGCAGAACTTCTCCTCAAATCAGGTTTGAAAAGTGGTGATTACCACTTTCCCATACTGAATAACCCAGTCTTCTTCCATAATTGATTTGACAGCTACCAGCTACCTACGCTACTGATTCCATACCACGCCACCGAAGCGACGACGGGGAAACACACACTTTGAGGAACTATTATAAGCCAGTTATATTAGCTCTAAGCACGTCATTGAACATTTAAATGGTAGGAAAACAACGTTTCGTAAGGGAATCAAATTAAATGAATATCATTCTCAATTTTCCGTTAAAGAATACGCGTTCTGTAATTAACTTTGTTGTATCACCACACCAAATTATTTAATAAATAGGAGTGTGACAAAAATTACCGAAATAATTTGACTGACCTACAGCAGATCTAGTATCAGTTATGTTTTTAGCAATGCTTGTATTGTGACGCGTCTGCTTCTCCACAGATTTGAATCCGCGCATATCGTCTAACGGTCATGGCTCACGACGTTTTAAAACACCTCTACTGCGCAAATCTAACCTCAAAACCTGTAACTTGCGTATCCATGCTAAAGTAAAAGTTTGTCTACAAAACTAAAAAAATATCATTTGAGCATAAAACATATATTTTACACTTGTTTAGATTGAAGTTTTAAAATTACAGAATTCCGATGAACAAAAATCACTGATGGTTGCGAACAATTTTTCCGATTTTGGGGAGACTACTGCTACTAGCAACAAAGGAACAATCCTGACTCCATAGTGAATTAAACTTGTTTTTCAAGATATATTCAAATCACTTGGCAAAAACCGCTAAAAATTATGAATATCTGATAGGGTGAATTGTCAGTTTGAAATTAAAATTATTCCTGACCTCAGATCAACCAAATGCCTGTCATTTCATTGATTTCAGTTTATTTTTATATTGCGAGTGTGAAATATAAGTATTGATCGACCAGCCAAAGATTGCTAGGGACGAAAGGGGGAAATGCGATGAAAAAACCTTACCATTAGACGATTTTATATGGAGTCATAGGCGGAGATCGGAGAGACTTGAATTATTAATTGAATTTATATTTTATTACAACTGGTAGTATTAATATTTTTTTGCGATTCATAATGACGTGATACCAAACATACATTATAAGAAATAAATATACACAAACACTGAATATTGAGAACAAAATAAATATATTTTTTAGGCAACAAGTAATATTCCTATGTACGCATTATGATTGAACAGCAAAACAAATTATGCATTCTTCTAAAATAGAATACAACAAGTCAAAAATATCTGACTGAATAGAAAAATATAGGAAAACAAAAAGTAATTTCTTGATGAAATAACCCATAAACAACACATAGAATTAGACTTTCTACTGAGATACTAAAAGCCACAAACCAATAGTATAATAAATGAATATCTAAAAATTCTAAAAGGTAGCCAATCTAGTATAGTTTCAATCCTGATTAGAGTCATGATCACTGTCTGAGGAACTGTCATTGCTATCACTTTCACCTCCTATGTTGATTATTATTTCTTCCTGTATTTCTTGAATGAGACTGTCTTTTTCCCAATATTCATCTTCAATTTTTATAACATGTCCAATAACCTTTTGCCAGTCACTGGCACTTACTGAAGCGATGGCCTTATTAGAAATTTCATCTAGTTTTTTTATAGTAAATTCGCCGCTTGTATTATGGCTTCTAATGAAAAATTTTACTTGTGCCCAAATCATCTCTATGGGATTAAACTGACACATATAGGGTGGCGTTCGAAGTGGGGTGTGTCCGAAACTTCTTATTAAATTATCTATCTTATAATTTTTCTCATCAGATGGTGGCCTATGTAGACAAGCTATTTCATAAAGCTCCATTTTTTTAGCATTAGGATCATGCTCTATACCTTTTTTGCTCAACCACGTGATGATGTCTCTTTTTAGAGAAGATCTAGTTGGAGGCTTGTCTTCCAAAGCTGAATGGTAAGGTGCATTATCCATTATTATAATACTATTAGGAGGAATGTTAGGAAATAGTTTTTCAGTAAGCCACTTCGTGAAATTTTCTTGGTTCATTTGACCGTGATAATCACCAGTGGCACAGCCAGCCTTGAAAATGAGACAGGCTCCAGGAACAAAACCATCTTGCGAACCCGCATGAACAATTATAAGTCGTCCTGGAAATGAATAAATAGCCTCATTTTAGTGTTATTTTAAGTTTGCCAACACCTTTTTGAATCACTATGTATAAAAAACATATTTTTGAGAAAAAAATACTTGCAAGGGATTATGTATTCAATTAGACAAATTAAATGAGCACTTATTAAGAATATTCCAAAATTGAGAAAAATGTATAATAAGCAAAATCGAGGTGAAAGAAACTTTATTACCTGTAGAACTTATATTGCTCAGGACACCCATAATTTCTTCGCTTTGCCAGCATTTCTTGAAAGTGAGGTCATTATCAACCCAAGTTTCGTCCAAATAAATAATATGCCTTCCTTCTTCCCGGAACTTTTTAATAGACCTAAGATACTTGTATCGCCAATGTAAAATACTGGGTCTTTCCATTAGTAATTTCCTTTTGTTGTGGCATTTACGCCAGTAAAATCCTTTTGCTTTTAAAAGCAGCCTCAACGATTCTTTACCAAATGGAAATTCCATTTCTTCCTTCAGTTTGATTAGAAGTTTACTACAAGTAGGTACCACTTTAAAATCACAGTAAAATTTTTCTATCATTCTCCGAATAATGGAAAAATCGACTCCATCAATTTTTTGGATCACAGAAGGGCGTGATCTCTTTTTTCCGGGAGAAGCTAAAGGCTGTGTGGAGGTTGCATTTTGCCTGTCTTTATCTTCTTTTCTAATTTTACTTATAGTTCGTTCACTAACACCCGTATAATATGCCGCCCTTGCATTTCTAGCTACCAGTGGATAAACGAAAGTATTGTTAGCCGCTTCTGCATCGCAAGCACGTATCACGTTTGCTATTATTTCCCTTGCCTGGCTGTGAATAACTTTCCCATGCTTGAATTCCATTATCACCACTAAACAGTAAATTATATTTTCAAAGTATTTGCCAACTGCCTACGCCTATGGGAGTAGGTTTATAAATGACCGTGCCATCGGCACGTTATTCTAGTTTCAGATAAGATAAGAGTTTTGGACCAATCAGCGACCGGATGTTTACCTGCGGCCTGGGTTTTCCAGCTACATTGCCAAATTCAGCGGAACAATTCTATATCTTAAATATGTTAATATGTATGGACCGCATTTTATGTAGAACATCTGACAACTTCGCAATTTTTTGTCCGCATTCTTTCGGCTTGCAATCTTTCGCTGGTCCAACATTACTTATCAACGCGCACGCAGCAAACATACATCCGCTCTCGAATCTCAATCTCTCTCGAAATCTTACTCTGGTACGTCTTGTGTTATGATTTGTGACTTGGGCGTCTTTTAGGTCAGATAGGCATGCCTTTTAGATAATCAGTATTATAATTTCAACTTTAAAATAACAACAGTTTGTTATATATCTTGGATTGCGAAGTTGGGATTTTCATAAATGTCCATCTACTTTTTAGTTGCAGCATTGGAACGTTTTCCATTCCCACCTAGTCCAGCAGATAGTGAAAAGTCCTGCGATAAAAAAGAGAACGATGGTGTAAAATCAGCAAAGCAGAGGAGGTTGGCGAACAAAAACAGTGAGTTTCATTTTTTGTATTCATTCTTGAATAAACAATCTTTATAGAGCTCGATCAGTATTGAGTTAATGTCAACCTCATCTGACACTTACCTTATACATACAAGTCCTTGACTTATGTAAAAAACGTGAACGATTACGTATGCAGTATTTGTGAATACCAACATCTCATTAATCTAAAGGTTTTTTAAATCTGATAGTTCGATTGGTGCGATATTGCTTGGCAACAGATGCCATGGTGCACATAATAGGTGAAAATTATTGTAGTGGTTAAAATTGCTCTAAAGTAAATAAAAATTTCGCAAAAAGTCGATGGAGTAGGAAGTTATAGAATATGTAATCCAGCAACTAACAATTCTTAGGATGCATCCTGAAAATATTGCTGCGGGTTCAAATATGAACAATAATCAAGTAAACGAATTCATTCTATTAAGTTATTCCAGACTGCATAATTTCATGTATGATAATCAAATAATAATAATCAATCTATATAAGTTAGATATTACTCGTATCGATAAAATATGTAATATTTGTGTTTCTTATTTAGCTTCCAACTCAAAAGCACAGCGGTACTCGAGTGAAGATTTATATAAACCAAGGCCTGTTTTCGGCAGTACTCGAAGAAGCAGGGGTGCCAAAGCCATTGAATGAATTTTGGTTTTACTTTCTGATCATATACTGTCTTAAGTGAATTTTATATTTTTTGTAAGTTACTTGATATAATTATGTTTTTGATATATAATATAAACAGTATACATATTTATGTTATTTTATCGAATGTACAGCGTAGTACTTAACATTCAACAAATCCTAATATTATGCTTTTCAGATATAGCATGTCTTGCATATCGCGAAAATGGAAAGATTAATTCATTTTCCTCAAAATAGTGCCAAAGTGCCATCTAATGCCAGATATACCTTATATCCCTGATAGAGGACAGTCGCATTAGCTTTCGTTCATTGTCCTACCAGAGACAATGCTGATGCGTTGCCAAATAGCACGAAACAGCTGCCCATGGTTGGCCGCCTGTGGTAGGATGAACAAAAGCTATATTACTAGGTCATATCCGTCGGTTAAGCTGTATTTTTCGATGCTTCTGATCGGGCTTATCACAATGATTCTTAGGCAATCAAACCATTAGAGTGATGCAATTCTCGCACTTCACTCACCACCAACGATGCTTAGAGCTTAAGATTTTCATCTAAAATTTGAGATAGATTTTACGATGCATAGGAATACTGAGTCAATCTACTTGGTTTCATTTGTTTTGAAAGGTCATCCATGAAATGATGCATGGACAGGGACACACACGATTTAACAAACGAAATGTTACCTGGCAGAGAGATAAACAAAATGTATTGTCAATTGTACTTGAAAAAAAGTCACCGTTCAGGCCGAAAATTCGTACAATAAAAAGGAGCTTTAAACATATGTGTGTTTTGATTCAGCCACACAAACATGGGGGATTACCAGCATAAAAACCACTATTATAACCGTAGTACATAGAAGTCGTAAGTGAATAGAACATAAGTATTGTACGGCTTGAGGGATGTTTTAAAACATTTTATTGAATAACAGGAAACCAACACCCAGAATAAAAAATATTACATAGCAAATAGTGTCAATTGAATAAACTTTGAATAAAGATGAACTTGAAATGCAAATCTAAAGGAAATGCCATCTTTCGATGTTTTTTTTAGACAGAAACTAGCTATGATGATTCGAACCAAAAGCTTTCGCGTCGCCGATGACTGCTAAAAAGTAAGGCAAGCGAACTCCTTCAACATGATCTTATCGATGGAAATATTGCAGCTTAAAAAATGGGTGACACTATCGGCCACATAGTTTCCACTCGTACCATATCCCTCATATAGGCAAAAGCACATTATGGGCAAAATAAAACAAAAAAAAATATTAACTACAGTCACCGTTGATAGATTGATGCAGCGCTGGAGGTTTAAATACTTTCTATAGGGAAGTTACACAAATTATTTAGATCTTTCTAATAATATCCAAAATAAAACTGCAGTCTCTGCTAAGCAGCTGATTTTTGGACGCTATTCCAGATCGACTTAACAGGCATCTGGGTCAGGGGGAGGGGTAATTACCCCTTCTATCCCCCCTGGGCTATGCGCATGATCCAAACCCCCACAGTGCTCTCGGTAGTCCCTAGCGTCGCTTCTTTATATAATTTCATATCACAAGAAAAGGGACTAGGAGGGACAGCATGTCGCATTAACTCCACGACATTCCCTTCAAGTAATAGTGCAACAGTGGACAAGCGATATGTATGGTACAGATTAGTTGTTACGGAGCCTTTTAAACTCGCAAATATACAGACGTTGTGGAGCGCTATATCTTTCCGGAAGGAGCATATGACATATGGCAAAACAAAAGTGGCGCTCCCATACGTCAACTCTGAATACACGCTGCCGAAGACGTTAGACTATATATTTCCTAAATCGCAATCTGAAATATGGGTATACGTGCGGGAAAAGAGACTCCAGATCAAGCTAGAACCAGAAACCATATGAATCTTCAGGATAATGCCGAGAAGGATAGGAAAAAGATAGCTGTTGCACGCTGATCTACTTAGGGGCCTCTAAAACAATGAAGACTTTAAAAACGTAGACGTAGAAATATCTAGAGCGCACAAAACACGTGGATGAATCGCAAAAAGCTATTAGCAGTTAGATGCAAGAATACCAGCTATCGTCACGAAGGACAGTGCTCCACGTTAAAGGGTTGGACAATGAGACACGAGAACAAAATATCATCGAGGCATTTAAGGTACCTGCACACATTGGAACACATATTGCTTAACTTCGGCTGAGACCTGGTACTTGCTGGTGATGTCAATGCAAAAGCGACAAAAGGCTGCACCTGCTGACTTGGCAGCTAGGCTTGTCCTGATTGTTTCAACTTTTACACTACCATTTTCGGGAGAAACAGTCAGAGAGGTAAAATAATTTATATTTTCTGGGCATCCTCTTCAGTGGCATTTGCAGTAACAGACTGGGCCATCCTAGAGCATTTCTCTGGAAACGACTACCAAGGTTCTGTATCCATCGGGACGGTGAAGGAAAGGTCGAACCCATGCGAACTGAACTTCGGAGATGAAATATATCCAGAGCAAATAAGGATGCACTGGGTAGATATCTAGTAAATATCAATATCACTGGCATCGAAAATGAAGTAATAGTGGCACAGAACACCAAGGTAGTTGATAAATCCATCATGCAGCAGATGACAATGCTGTGAAGCTGCCATGCCTAGAAGAGCTATGACGGGATACAGCAGACGTTTATTGGTGAAATGACGATATTGCAGATTCAAACAAGAAACATATCCAGTTATGACGCACTACACATAGAGTAAAGAGTAGGACCAACGAGATGTAGACAATGAGCAACAATACAGGGATGTGAAAAGGAAAATGAGATTATCTATTCGATCCAGTAAAAGAACATTCTGAACAAATCTCTGCAATAACATGGGTCAAAACGTCTGAGGTATTAGGCTTTAAAATAGTTATGAGACAGATTGAGCAACAGGAACCTGTTGACCCCTATGAATCGGAAAAGGTTCTGGAAATTATTCTGAAGCAACAAGATGGAAAGTCCAAAGATCAGTATTGCTTGGCAAAAGTAAGTGCCCTCCAATAACGCCTTCATCATCCAGCCCATTAGGCTTATCCGACCAAGAGCATGGATTCTGACCACGTACCTCAACCACAGTTCATATAAGAAGCTTACGTAACCTGGAAGAGTAATAACCGTATCCGAAGCGTTTGCGTATTGATCACCTTTGACGTGAAAAACGCGTTTAACTCGGCAAGGTGGGCCGACATTATCATTGCTCTAGAGAAACTCTTCAAGATTCCTGCATATTTGCTATGGGTAATAAACCTGTCCAATAGCAGCCTGATTTATGAAACCCTCGAAAGGCAGCTGGATAATTTTCTGAAGTCAGACAACAGATACTTCATGAGTTACAGGTAAGACGGGAGATCAAAAGATGTGTGCAGAATGAAGTTCCAAAATAAAAACAATAGACGTTAGTTTAGGTTGCAAAAAGGGCGGCATTTTTCAATTGATCTACATATACAGGGGATGCTAATAAACTATCTATAGTTTGGCAAACGGATCTGCAACAGCGAAAGGAATGCGACCGAAAATATTCGATATTGCCAAATTTAACTACAAAAAAGCAATAATAATAATAAAAAAAGTAATTTCAATGATTTGAAAATCGATTTTTCACAATTCCAAAAAATATTAATTCAAAATACTGAGAATTTTAATGGGTTGTTAGCTCTATTTGTATTTACTAACTATTTTTTACTACTGAATCGTATTATAAGTAAACATTTTTCCAAAGATCTTATCTACATCGGTTGAGCTGGCAACAACCACCCGAAAGGTATATTGGACACCGCCTAAACGAATCTGATTGGCGGATATCCTCACATGTTTTGTCGCCATGAGAAAATTCGACTCCCTATTGGGTAGCGTCCCAGACAATTTTTTGCTCCTTTCTTAGAATATCCATACTATTGAAAAGTCCAGTGGCGTAGGTTTTATCTCCGTTGATTGTCGTGTTGTACAACTATTATTGTTAACTATTTATTGTTCTATTAAGTTTGTATGTTTAGTGCTGTGTGTTTTTGAATAGTTTAGTGTTTTGTTATTTGATATTGTTATTCGTTTTAGTATTATTTTTTTAAAATGAACCAATTTACTCGCGGAAAGACGCTTCATAGCCAAACAAGAGAAGTGATTGCGAATGTTTATAGGTTAGTAATAATAATATGCAATAATTGTAGTTTTTGACGACTGAGTCTGAATATAAATAAAAAACAAGGAAATGCTAAGCTAACATTCTGATGATTATTTATAGGGTTTGCGATGAGGAAGCGGCAAACAATTCCCTCAAGTTGCCGCTTAAACGTAAGCTTGATAGGGTGTCCCTTTATACCGGAGTCGGAGTATCTTCTGTTAGGAAAATTCATAACGAAGATAAAGAAAGACTAGAAAATAACCCGAATAAAATGTTATCCAGTCCCGGAAAGAAAAGACCGCGTCAGTCTCTTGTTGAGAAAGATGAAGATTTTGATTTTCAGATTATTAGACATTTGATAAACAGATTTTATCTTGAATATAAAGTTGTCCCGACAACTAGGAAGTTATTACAAAAGTTGCGAGAAGACTCAAATTTCCCCTATTCTAGGGAAACTCTCAGGAGTTTATTAAAATCAAATGGTTTTTTTTGGCGCAAATGTCAAAATAAAAGAAAAGTTTTGATGGAGAGGCCCAATATATTGCAATGGAGGTACAAATACATCCGTGAAATACGTAGATATCGTGAAGAAGGGCGCAATATAGTTTATTTGGACGAAACCTGGGTGGACAATGACTTGACTTTCAAAAAATGCTGGCAGAGCGAAACTGTTTCTGGTGTAATAAGCAGTATAGGTTCTACAGGTAAGCAAAAATGCTATATATATGTTAAATTTAACTCTGATTTGTAACATATTATATAATCGTCTTGTATATTTTAGGTCGACTCATTATAGTGCATGCAGGTTCAGAAAATGGATTTGTTGACAATGCCTGTTTGATATTTAAGGCGGGATTAGCTACAGGCGATTACCACGGTCAGATGAATCGGGAAAATTTCACACGCTGGCTCACAGAAAAACTCCTCCCGAATATACCTGCCAATTCGGTTATAGTATTTGACAATGCTCCATATCATTCCGTCCAGGAAGATAAAACCCCGACAAAATCATCTTCGAAAAAAGATATAATGGCCTGGTTGACAAAGAAAGGTACTTATGACTCAAAACATGCATGTACATATCAAACTATACAATAAGATATTTTATAGGCATAAATCATGAGGCAACTGCCAGAAAATTTGACTTGTTCGATCTGGTCTCACTTCATAAGCCCCCTGACAACCAAAAAAATTATGTAGTTGATCGGATCATAAGATCACATGGACATACTCCTCTAAGAACACCTCCTTATTTATGCGAGCTAAACCCAATAGAAGTAGTTTGGGCAAAGCTTAAATTTCATATAAGAAGCCGCAATACCACTGGAAACTTCAGTTTAACCGCACTGAAAGAAGTTACTCAGGAAGCGATGTCCTTAATATCCATTAATGATTGGCAGAAATTTTGTCAACATGCTAGGGACATTGAAGATAAATTTTGGGAAAATGATCAATTTATGGAGGAAATGGAACCCGTTATCATAACTATAGGGCAAGATGACGACAGCGAAACTGATGACGACACTGACGATGATGATAATGATGAAGTTGACGAACACCAATGCTAATTCAATAGGTGAAATGTAATTTTGAAATGCTGTATAATGTAAGTATTATTTATTACAGAGGTTATAAGTTAAACGGATATGAAATGTGTTTAAAGTTCTTTGTTTCTACTTAAGCGACACCGATGCTCTAGAAATATCCACATCAACAGTCCAAAATTGCAACAATAGGAATCCAGAAAGATGCGGATTATAAAATAAAAATTAATTCTGGTCATGTTTCGGCTTGTGGCACTTTTTAAAGTAAATGAGCATATTATAAGATCTCGAATGTATAATATATATATATATATATATATTCTCAAGGTAAAAAACCACGTTAAGTATCTATTTGTATTTGAAAAATATATTTTATTTACGGCTTTGACAAAAACGCTAGCTTGATTTAGGTTTTAAATCGCGCAGTTATCATGATTTTTTGAATTGTGTCAATTTTGGGAAGTGAGTAGACATTTTTCCGTTTGTTGAAGTGTAGAAACAAACTCAAGTGTTTTTTTACATGGTGTAGATTGTAGAGATACA